ACAAAAAAGAAACTCTTAAGCCAGGCATAGGCTTTTAGTCCCAGAGTTCAGGAAGCAGAATAAGGCAGATCTGAGTCTGAGGCCAACCTGGTCTACAGAGTGAGTTCCAGGACAAAGAAATTCTGTCTCCAAAAGGAGTAGGAGTTGGGGAGGAGGATGAGGAGGGAGAGGAGGAGAATGGAAAGAAGATTTTAAATTGAAAGTTAGTGGTAAAAGAAACTTAAACTTCAATTAAACTGTTTCACTTTGCAACTGAAATAAGATTTAAGTAATTTCTAAAATATCCCTATTATTGAGACCTATTTTCCAAGACTGTTTCTCTGATATGACTAATGAAATATAGTAAACCACATAGATGAGAAATTTCCAAATATGAATATATGGCTAACAAATTTTTCTATCAGCCCCTCAAAAACCTACACTGTATACTAGTAATTACAATGTCACGCAGCATTTCGATTCAAATAGAGAAATATGAAGCATACTAGACCATTATCATAATGTGCCATCATCTCAGAGTAGCTCACCATCAAAGGTAATGAATCTGGTAAAGGTTTGCCACCACTCACCCATGAAGTCACTCACATGACTTCACTGCATCCTTGGTTCTCAGTCCAAACCGGTTCACTTTTCAATAATCATATCATAGACACCATGGAACATTGCTATAAACACCTTGAATCAGGTTTGCAGCTACTGCACTGTGAATTGAAGTGCTTTTACTTTACATACAATCTCTGTGATTAGAGAAGCATAACAGTGTAATTAGGAAAATAAAGACCTTTAATACTTTCCTAACCATCGTTTCTCTACATGTAAATATAAAATTAGCAAATGTTTGAATTAAAATGTGTTTTGATGCTTGATTTTGGAATTTTTTCTTTAAATTAGTGAATTGCATTTCATTAGAAATTATTAAGTAAAAAAGGGTTAAAACATATTTAAATGTCTATGCTTAAGGGAATACTCAAGCAGATGAGAATACTAACAAGATCAGACACGTGATATATACTATTTGAACAGGTGTGTCTCTTCAAGATTCTCTGACATGAAGATAATAAAATACATGGGTTACTGAAGCAACATACCAAACTAGAAAATTGCAGAAAGAAAGATGGAGGACTATTATCCATTTAAAGTAGGAATAAAGGAAAAACTCCATCTTAAATTACAATGATATAAAAGGTATTGATACTAAAACAGTAAAACAAACTAGAAGATAGAGAGTTATAGACAGCAAAGGGGAACAGAGAAAGAGAAAACAATTTTCCATTCAAAGTAAGAATAAAAGAAAAAAACTTGCATTATAATTATTTGTGTTTATTTACTGGCAAGGTTTGTATTTATAAGAGACTGGATTGGTAAAGGCTTAAGGTTAAGACATGATTGTTGGCCTCAATAAAAATTTGTCAGTGAGAAGGTAAATAATGAGGACTATACAGCTCAGCAATTATTACTCATTTTTAGCAAAGGAAATAAATATTGAGAATTTAAAGCATATACATATATGCTTTATGGGTAACATGTCCTTGTTATATAAATGTCCATCCTTTGGGTATACACCTAAGAAAGAATTGCTGAATTTTGTGGTAGACTGTTTCCCATTTTCTTGAGAAACTAACTATTTGACTACCAAAGTGTCTGTACAAGTTTACACTCCCACTAGCAGTGGAGGAGTGTTCCACTTTCTCTGCAGCCTTTCCAGCATAGACTGTCCTTGGTGCTGTTGATTTTAGCTGTGCTGACAGGTGTAAGATGGTATCTTGGAGTTGTTTTAATTTGAATTTCTCTGGTGGCTAAGGATGTTGATCAATTTCTTAAGTATCTTTAAGACATTTTAGATTCCTCTATTGAGAATTTTCTATTAAATTCTGTACCTCATATTTCAATTGGATTATTTGGTGTTATGGTGACTAGCCTCTGGAATTCTTTGAATATTTTGGAGAATAGCCCTCTGCCAGATGTGGGGTTGGTGAAAATATTTTCCCATTCTGTGGACTGCTGTTTTGTCTTGTTGCCTGTGTCTTTTGCCTTACAGAAGGTTCTCAGTTTCAGGAGGTCCCATTTATTGTCTATCTGAGTGTCTGTGCTACTGGTGTTATGTTCAGGAAGTGTTCTCCTATACCAATTCCTTTAAGGGTACTTCCCACTTTCTCTTCTAAGAGGTTCAGGGTGGCTGGATTTATGTTGAGGTCTTTGATCCACCTGGAATTAAATTTTGTGTATGATGATAAATATGGATCTATGAGCAATCTTGTACATGTCAGCATCCAGTTATGCCAGCACCATTTGTTGAAGATGCTTTCTTTTTTCCATTGTATAATTTTAGATTCTTTGTCAAAAATCAGGTGTGCTTAGGTGTGGTTAATAATATAATGGTTTTCAATTCTACCCCATTGGTCTACCTGTGTGGTTTTGTGCCAATACCAAGCTTGTTTTGTTACTATAGCTCTATAGTAGATCTTGAAGTCAGGGATGGTGATGCCTCTGGAAGTTCCTTTATTGTACAGGGCTGTTTCGGCTTTTGTGGGGTTTCTTTCTTTTTACATATTGAATTGAATATTGTTCTTTGCAGTTCTGTGAAGAATTGTTCTGGGAATTTGTTGAGGATATCCTTGAATCTGTAAATTGAATTGGCATGTCCTTCTTTAGGTTGGGAAAGTTTTATTCTATGATTTTATTGAATATGTTTTCTGCACATTTCAGCTGGGTTTCTTCACCTTTCTTCACCTATTATTTGTAGGTCTGGTCTGTTCATGGTTTGCAATATTTCCTGGATATGTTGTCTTAAGTATTTGTTGGACTTAATAGTTCCTTTGTCAATGAATTTATTTCCTCTAAGGTATCTTCATTATCTGGCAGTCTCTCTTCCATCTCTTGTATTCTGTTGCTTGTATCTATATAGTTCCTGATCATTTACCCAGATTTTCTATTTCAGCAGTTTGTGTTTTCTTTATTGTCTCTATTTCAGTTTCAAGTCTTGAACTGTTTAAATTTTTTCCTTCATCTTTTTTTTTCTTGGCTTTCCTTGCCTTCTTTAAGAGATTTAATTTAATTTTTTGCATTTTTGGTTTGTTTTCCCACGATTTCTTCTTTTCTTATTTGTTTTTCTTCCATTTCTTTAGGAGATTTTCTCATTTCCTTTTTGAGGGCTTCTATAGTCTTCATAAAGTTGCTTTTAAGATCATTCTCTTCTGCTTTATCTGCAATGAGATGTTCAGGTCTTGCTTGTGTAGAATCCCTAGGCTCTGGTGTTGTCCTATTAGTCTTTATGTTGTTGAATGTGCTCCTATACTGTTGTCTTCACATCCCTTCTTCCAGTGAGTGTAGATGGGGTCTCTCCCTCTCTGTGTGGGTGTTGGTCCACGTCACTGATGGCAGATTCTGGATGGCTTGATTGGCTCCCAGTTCCCTTTTGGATTCGGTGGGTGGGACAGGGCAATGTACCCAAGTCAGGGAACTCCAATATGGGAAGGTGGGCGGGAGAAAGACTGGCACACACCTCTCCCTGTGAGTGCCGGTCCAAGACTCCAATGGTGACAGACACTGGACGGTTTGTTCAGCCCCCAGTTCTCCAAGACTTTATTCTTATATTTTCATATACATTCATTACATGCTTTCATCATTTTTAAATACATTTCTCTTCTGGTTCCATTCATCCTCTCTAATAGTCCCCTTTCCATTTCCTTGTTCCTTTTTGTTTGTTTGTTTGATTGATTGACTGATTTTTTTTCTAGACAGGATTTCTCTGTGTAGCTTTGTAGACCAGGCTGGCCTCAAACTCACAAAGATCCACCTGCCTCTGTCCCCCAAGTGCTGGAATTAAAGGCATATGCCAACTCTTGTTTTTAATCTAGATTCCACATTTGATAAAAATGTGCAGTTTATTTCTTTTTATGTTGACCTTATTTAGTATGAGGATATCCTTTCTACACATGTACTTGCATAGGGTCTAGGTATATTCTTCAGGATTAAATAATGCTCAACTCTGCATATATGCCAAAGTCTCTGATAGCATTCATCTGTTCTGAGGTACTTCAATAGACTCCTTAACTATGCTATTATAAATAGTCCTATGATGAGGAGGCTCCAATGCAATGATTATACCTAAGCACATTTAAAATCTTTGTGGTCAGCCTTCATCTGGGCATGGTTCAACATATGAAAATCCATCAATGTAATCCACCATGTAAACAAACTAAAAAATTAAAGTTGCATTATCATCTCACTAGATGCTAAAAAGGCCTTTTAAAAATCCAATAGCCCTCATGATAAAGGTCTTGGAGAGATCAGGGATAACAGGAACATAGTTAAATATAGTAAGAGCAATATACAACAAACCAAGAGCCTGCATCAACCTAAATAGAGAGAAACACAGCAAAATTATTTTAAAATCAGGAATAAGACAAAGCTGCCCACCTTCTGCATACCTCTTCAATATTGTATTTGAAGTTCTAGCTAGATCAATAGGATAACAAAACGATATGAAGGGGATACAAATTGGAAAGGAAGAAGTCAACTATCCCTCTTCACAGGTGATATGACAGTTTACATAAGTGACCAAAAATACTCTATCAGGGAACTCCTAAAGCAGATAAACAACTTCAGAAAAATGGCAGGATGCAAGATAAACTCAAAAACAAAAAAAGTAGCCCTAATTGTAGGGAGCTGCAGAATACCGCACCCAAAAGATGGCGCCGGTTTCCGCCCTCTGCCAGCCCGACGGCGAGCGCTCTCTTGTGGTAAACAACTCCAAATTTGGTAAAGGTCATGCATCCTCTTAATTCTGCTTGGAGACAACCTATCCTGGCATGCCACGTAGGGTTAGGTGATTGGTAGATGTAGACTATATCAGGCCCCATCTCCCTCGACCCAGGGCCACCGCCATTATACACTGTAAAGCAAAGAGGTTCCCGATTAAACTGTGTTGAAGAAGATTTCTCAGTGTGGCGTTGTTCTTGCTGGTCAAGGGTGGATGCCGCAAGTGGTGGCCCGTATGAGGAATTCAGAACTTCTCACAGTCGGGGCGGCGCCGGTAAGTTCCCAAGGTAAGTGGAACTGTAAAGTCTGCGGTGAATGCGGAGATAGGTCTCCGGTAAAGGAGCACCAAGATCCTCAGGAAAAGAGGAGATAGGTCTCCAGTAAAGGAATACCAAAGCCCTCGGGGAAGAGGCAGTAAAGTCTCTGGAAGGGAGCAACACTGTTCGTGACAAAATCGAACCGAAAGTAAAAAACCTCGCTTCTGCTTTAACTTGCAGAGTGAGAGTAAGTTAATGGACCCCGCTATTATAGTGGTGATTTGGCTGCTTTTTAACATAGCAGTGTGGGCTTTTGTTTTCTGGTGGTGTTATCCTACTTGCACACCTTCGGAGCGCGCTAACTAAGACAAAAGCACAATGGGATCGTCACAATCACATCCAATTTTTCTGGCTCTTCAAGAGCTACTTCATTCTAACAATTTAAGGTTAACTAAAGCCACATTACAGAGGTTCCTGAATGAATGCGACACCATTGCACCCTCGTTGCAGCCTCGGGCAATCTCACTGTGGATAGTTGGGATAAATTAGGGAAGGACCTGGATTTTGCCTGGGAGCAAGGAACGTTGAAGCCAAGTGTTCACCCGGTCTGGTGCGCAGATGTTTAGAGGACAAAGGGGGAAATAAGAAAGCTATAGCAAATGGACAGGCTGCCCTTGAAATGCTCCAAGAAGAAAGGTCAGAACAGTCAGAAAGTGAGAGAACAAAGGAGAAACAGAAAAGGGATAAGAAGCGAGTCTATCCTTCTCTAGGAAGGTTGAGGAAGGAATTAAAAGAACCAGGAGAGGATTCAGAATCAGAGGAGGATATATGTGAGGATGAGGACATCATGGAGGAAGAGGAGGAAGAGATTATTGAGCTCATGGAAAAACATTCATTAAAAGTATCAGAAAAACAGGGCCCTAAAATGGCGACTGTAAAACAAGGGCACTGCCCTATCGCTCCTCCCCCCTACTGCTTGAAAGAGGAAGTAGGAGGTCCTGGTTGCTCCACCTTCTGTCCGGAAGTGTGGCGTATGGTTCGCACTGAGCTTCAGGTTACTTGACCACTGGCTTATCCAGTTTTTACAGACGGTAACCAACAGAGATATCATGAACCAATTGACTTTAAAATAGTCAAAGCTCTGGCAGAATCGGTACGCACCTATGGGGTGACGGCAGCTTTTACAATTGCTCAGGTAGAGGCGCTCGGTCGCTACTGTATGACACCCAGTGATTGGACAAATTTGGTAAGAGCTTGCTTATCACCAGGACAATATTTGGATTGGAGAGCTTTTCAAATTGAGTTTGCCAATGATCAAGGTGCGATTAATCGTGCAGCTGGTGATCAATATTGGGATGTGGACATGCTTCTTGGTCAAGGACGTTTTGCACAGCAACAAACAGGATATCCTCCTCAAGTGTATGATCAGATTAATCAAATAGCCATTAGGGCTTGGAGGTCTCTGCCTAACAAAGGTGAGGTCAGTGGAAATCTTACAAAGATATTACAGGGTCCTATGAACCCTTTTCAGACTTTGTGGCAACAGATTATTGCCGTGAATGCTACACGCCTGAGCCTGCCCACTGTTAATACCCTCTTAACTACCCTTAAGCGAGCCTTTAGTTTAGTTAAG